TGTTTGTTTTGGTTAAAATGGTGAATTGCATTTTCTGTATTGTGATAGAATAACTTAAAAAGATAGAATAACCTAAAATTCGCTATCATAATCATAATTTGCCAGCAGCATTATAAGTGTACAAATTTAGTAGTGTTAAGTCATTCGTTGTTTTGCAAATAGCATAACTATTCATCTTCAGAACACTTCCTTTTGTATAACTGAAACTCTATACCCACTGAACAATAATTTCTCCCTTTTACCTCCCTTTTTTTTATTGTGAATTTGACTACTTCAGGTACCTGGAATCAGATATTGTCTTTTTGTGGCTGGCTTATTAAACTCAGCTTGTTCTCAAGGTTCATCCATATTTTAGTATATGTCACAATTTCCTTCCTTTTTAAGGCTGAATTCTTTTCTATTTTACAGATAGTCCCTGAGTTGCAATGACTAAACTTATGAGTTTTTTTACTTTACAATAGAACAAAGAGATGGACATTCAGTAGAAACTGTACTTTGAATTTTGCTTTTTTTCATTGACTAGCCATATGGATGTGGGGTCTTCTTGCAATACTAGGGAGTCAGAGCTGCAGTTAACACTTAAAACATGTTCAGGATGTAACCCAATTGTAAGTCAAGGAGCATCTGCATACCTATAATGTATCTATTATACACACACACACACACACTACATTTTTATTATCTAGTCATTTGTTGTTGGATAGTTAGATTGCTTCCTTCTTTGGAATGTTGTGAATAAGGCTACTGTGATCATAGATGCACAAATGTCCAATTGAATCCTGCTTTCAAAAATTCTTTTGAATTCTTTCCCCCTAAAAGTGGAATTTCTGAAACATAGTGATTCTATTTTTAGTTACTTAAAGAATCACTACTATTTTCCACAGTAACTGTACCATTTTTACATTCCCATCAGCATTGTATCAGGGTTCCAGTTTCTCATATCTTCACTAATACTTGTTACTTTCTGTTTTTGTTTTTTATTACAGCCATCCTAATGTATGTGAAGTAGTATCTAATTCTTGTGTTTTTGATTTGCATTTCCCCAGTGATTAATGATGTCTTGAGCATCTTTTCATGTGCTTATTAGCCATTCATTTAACTTCTTTGGAGAAATAGCGTTCAAGTTTTTGCTGTTAAACTGCTTGGTTGTTTTATAGTTGTTATGAGAGGTTTTTTTACATATATTCTGGATATTAATCCTTATCAGATATATGATTTGCACATACTTTTCTCTTGTTCATTGTGCGTCCTTTGGTGCACAAAAGTTTTACATTTTGATGTCCATTTTATCTCTTTTTTCTTTGTTGCCTGTGGTTTAGTGTCATATCCAAAAAGTGATTGCTAAATCAATGTCCCATATAATTTTCCCCCATACTTTCTTCTTTAGACTTTTATAGCTTTGCTGTCATGTTTAGTTAGGTCTTTGATCCACTTTGAATCAATTTTTGTTTTTGGCATGGGGGAGGGTCCAATTTAATTCTTTTGCATGTGAATATCCAGTTTTCTTATCATCATTTATTGAAAAAACTGCCCTTTCCCAAATGACTGGTCCTGGCTTCCTTATAAAAAGTCATTTGACCGCTGATGTGAGGGTTGATTTCAAGGCTCTCTGTTCCAAAAATTGGGGCATGTTGCACTTTCATTTCTATTCTGTTCAAAACACTATTTTTCCTTTGATTTCTTCCTTAAATCATAGATTATTAGAAGTATGTTAGTGTCTAAATATTTGGAGACACAAGGCCCTTCAGAGTCATAGAGGTTACTGTGATCTGATATAAAATTTTTGATTATTTACAATCATTATTTTTTGTACAAGAAAATAAACTTAAAGTGGGTTGAATACAGAACTGCATCCCCAGCCTTTTTTTGTTTTTCCTTTGGGACAGGGTCTTGCTAAGTTACCCAGAGTGACCTCAAACTTACAGTGTTCCTGCCTCAGCCTACTGAGTAGCTTGGCTTACAGGTGTGCTCCAGATGCCTGGTTGCTACAATAAATTGTGAAATGACTATAGTAAAGCATTTTTGGACAAAAGGTTCTACCTGAAATAGACCAAAAGTTCTACCTGAAATAGACCTTTATTTAAAAATAAGATGTAAAACATAGGAAGAAAGAAAGTATTAATGTCTGAAATATAAAATAAAAAAACTGTAAAAATTCATAGATGCAAATCTAGACACTGATATAGATATATGGTAAAATTGTACACATGTCCTTATTAGTGATGTAGATTACTTACAAAAAAATGGAAACCTATGAAAGTACTTAATAAATATTTTTCATTTAGGGATATATATATATATGATAAAAATTGTTTTAATGAGAGTAGAAAAGTTGCTTTAGATCAATTTTAACAGAAGCTGACCTGTTTCTCCGTTTGGTTTGAGAAACTTTTATTATTTGAGTGTCAGCATTGATCAGCACTACATGACTGAGCATGCCATAGCCATTGGTGATAAATATTTGGAGATTTCCTTGATATCTTTTTGTTATTGGTTTTAAATTTAGTTTCATCATAGTCAGAAAACATTTTGTATTATTTAAATTCCTTTAAATTTACTGAATCTTATTTTATAGTATAGAATATGGTCAGTGTTGGTAAATATTTCATGTGCAAATTGAAAATATGTATTCTTTTGTTCTCAGATGAAGTATTCTGTGAATGTCAGTTAGATCCAATTGATGGATGATGCTATTTAGTTCAACTAGGTTTGTGCTGATTTTTTTTTCCTGCTGAATATGTCAATTACTGGTGGAAGGGTGTTAAAATCTCTAACTGTATTATTAGGTTGATCTGTTTATCCATGCAGTTCCATCAGTTTTTGCCTTTTAAGTATTTTGACATTGTGATATTAGGTACATACACATTAAGAATTGTTATGTCTTCTTGAAGAATTGATTCCTTTATCATTGTGTAATGACCCTTATTATCTCTAATAATTTCCTTTACTCTGAAGTCTGCTTTTTATAAAACTAATATACGTACTCCAACTTCCTTTTGATTAGTGTTAGCATGTCTTTCTCTGTTCCCTTTAAATTTATTTGTTTACATTTAAAGTGTTTTTTTGTAAACAGTATATAGTTGTCTTTTTTAATACACTCTTTACAATGTCTTTTAATATATTTAGATCATTGAGGTTTAAAGTGATTATTTATATAATTGGATTAATATCATATTCTTAATGTTTGTTCGTGTTTTCTCTTCATTGCTTTTCTTTCTTTGTCTTTACTCTTTTCTGCATTCTTTTTAATTGAGCATTTCGTGTTTCATTTTTTTCTCTTCTCTTACCATATTGATAATTCTCTTTTTAACTTTTTTTGGTAGTTGTCTGTTGCAATATGCAACAGAATCAGGGTCATTCCAGGTAGATTTGGCTGGCAATGTAAAGACCACACAAACACAGAAAATACCTTTTTCGGGGTTCAGGACAGCTCTGCAGCCTCAAAAATCTAGCTCCCATGCTGGAGGGCCTGGAGAGCAAGGGAGGCAAGAGGCAGACAAGAGAGCCAACACACCTGAAACCCCCCGATTTATTGGAAGAAGCCATTCATAGAATATTCCACCCAAATAAGGTAAATATCTTGTGGTCACCATCTTGGCAAGTTGGTAAGTCACACCCATCTCAGATTCCATGTGGGAACATAGGCAGAGCAAGAGGAAAGGGCACTCACAGCCCAAAGAGCACACAACAACAGGCTAGTTCTCCCATACCAGGCTAGTTCTTAGTTCTCCCGTACGCTCAAATGGATATAACTCATGCACCCGGCCCATGGATGGCTCGAGACAGTTGCCCTTGAATTTGCAGGATGTATTTTCACAGTATTCCACTTAGCTAACTTTGTAACAAATTTTCCCAATTCCTCACACTTTTTTTTGTGCTGGGGATTTGAGGATTGAACCCAGGCCCCTGTGCATGCAAGGCAAGCACTCTACCAACTGAACCACTAATACTTTATAACATTATTATCATTCATTTCATTTGTCCATAAGCTTTAATTGCCTAATACATGGTCTCTATTATTATTGTAAACAAATTGTTCTCTGTTCAAGTACCAATAATAAGAGAAATGAAAGTGAAGTTTATGGCCTAAGCCATTTTCCTTCTTTTTTTTAATATTTATTTTTTAATTGTACTCGGACACAATACCTTTATTTTATTTATTTATCTTTATGTGGTGCTGAGGATCCAACCCAGGGCCTTGCACATGCTCGGCAATCGCTCTACTGCTGAGCCACAACCCCATCCCCATTTTCCTTCTTTCTGAAGAATTTCTTGTCACATTTCTTGCAAAGCAGGTCTATTGGTGACAGTTTTTCTCCTTTTTGTTTGAAGAAGTGTGATTCTTCTTCAGTTTGAAGAACAATTGAGCTGGGGGCAGAATTGTAGGCTTGATAGGGTTTTGTTTTGTTTTTGTTTTTAACTTTAAATAATTTCACTTCACACTGTTCTTGCTTGCCTGTTTCTGAAAAAAAATCTAATGTAATTCTTATTTTTGCTTCTCTTTTCCTCTAGCTTTTTTCAACATTTTTAATCTAATATTCTATAGTTTGAATATATGCCCCCCCAGTATAAATCTTTTGGTATTTATCATGCTTGATGTTCTATGAAGTTTCTGAGTCTGTGGTTTGGTGTTTATTCACTCTGGATTGGTTTTTGTTGTTGTGTTGTTTTGTTTTTAGAGCAGTTGTTTTTTCTCCCAGCTTCTCTCCTGTTTGACCCTTATCTTCAAAACATATCTGGAAACTAACACCATCTCCACTGTAGCTGCCTTCAGATTGTTCTTCCTAACTTTGCCCTTAATGTCCTCTTTCATAGCCAAGAGAGAATCTTCCAAAAATTTCCATGGAAACTTGACATTCTCTGCTAAGAACCATCCAGTGATTTTCTGTATCATACCAAGTAAAAGCCAAAATCTTTACCATGGCCCAAAGGCCTGCATTTAACTCTGTTTCACCTCCTATCTTATCTCCTAATCACCACTCTTTGCTCTCCTGTTACAGCACCCTTCTTGTCTTAAAAAAGTCACCAGCAAGCATCTTCAAGATTTTTCCACTTCCCTCAGATGTCTGGATAACTCTGTTCTTTAATTTCCCCTCACTTTTAGATGAAGTTTAAAAGTAAGTATATGCTTAAGTATAACTTTTTAAAAACAAACCTACATGTTTTATGAATTTATCCCCCTTTCATGTTTTATGGTTCTTCAAAACATTTTCCCAGCCAGCATGTCACTGGCATTTTAGAGAAAATTAAGCCAGCAAACTGGTTGGAGCATTGAGAAGGATAAGAGGGAGCATGTGGTTGGATGAAACTAGAATGGGATTAGGGATCAAACTATGTAACCCTTAAGAAGCCTGGTTAACATTTTGGTCTATCATTAAGTTCTGGTAAATCACTGAAATACCTTACCTGGAAGGAGTCAGAGGACGTCACTGATGTGATCAAATTTGTTCTTTTACAAAGAACATTCTGTGGAGAACAGATTGGAGAGGAAAGATTGCATCTGGGGAGATCAGCTGAGCAGCTGTTACAGTGATCCAGAGATCACTGATGGCAGCTTACCTAGACTACTAGGGTTGATGGCCATACAAAAGGAAATGTTTGAAACTGTTTAATTCTTTGAAGAAATCCATTTGTAAATATTATCAGCAATTTATATATCTCTATAGCCAGATTAAGATTTCCAGCTTAGGGGCTGGGGTTGTGGCTCATCGGTAGAGCACTCACCTTGTACATTCAAGGCCCTGGGTTCGATTCTCAGCACCACATAAAAATAAATAAATAAAAATAAAGGAATAAAGGCATTGTGTACAACTAAAAGAAATAAATATTTTTTTAAAAATTTTCCAGCTTATAGGAACTCTTTTTGATTCCATTTTGAGAAAGTTGAATGGATTGCCCAGTGTAATTCATCTTCATGTTCTGTAAGCCAAATAGTTATGTGCCATTTTGTATATTTCTTAGCATTGGGCACAAAATCAAAGATGCTTGTTTATTGGCAATGTCTAGAACCTGTTCAAATTGAATCATTTCTCATGAAAGCAAGAATTTTAATTGTATTATGATATTTTTTCCAACCTCATCTTAAAAAATTAAGTAGACTTATTGGGATTTAGAATTGATTCTCAATAGAGTTTTGTTTTCGGGGGGAGGAGGGCAGGGAATACCGGAGATTGAACTCAGGGGCACTTGACTATTGAGCCACATCCCCAGCCCTATTTTTTTGTATTTTATTTAGAGATAGGGTCTCACTGAGTTGCTTAGGGCCATGCTAAGTTGTTGAGGCTGGGTTTGAATTCTTGATCCTCTTGCCTTAGCCTCCCAAACTGAGCCACTAATCCTCCTGCCTTAGGCCCCAGAACTGAGCCCAGCTTTTTAAAAACAAAAAAACAGGATCTCTATGCCTGTGCTTTCTCCTTTATAAAGCCAGAAACCTTTGGGAACGGGAAGTTGTGTAGAACTTTAGCACTTGTGAGGATTCAAAACTCATAACACTGCCTGTGATAAGATAGATTGAAGCTCTTAAAGCAAAAAAACTAACATGGGAATCCTACCAGTAGTTTGCTAATGTGGCATTGTTTTTATCAACTAAAATATTGATTTCTCTTTTTACTTTAATTTGGGAGGGACAAAGCATTAAGCTCTGTACCTAAAGAATGTTATATTGTTTAATTATAAAGAAACAGTAGACTGTCTTAGTCCAACTTAATTTTGTTAATAAGGAAATTGAATATTTATGAGAGCAAATGATGTATAAGTTATAAAGCCTGATTTGGGATCCAGATCCTGTAGAAGCTCTTTCTTTTCATGAGTTATTGAGTTCTTTGGTCTTCAACACACACCTCATTTCTCTTGATGTATATGTGCTTTCCAAAGAATTGCAGACCTTTCAGTAAGGTTTAAAAAAAAAAAAAAAAGCCAGGCATGGTGATGCAGCCACTTGGCAGGCTGAGACAGGAGGATTGCAAGTTCAAGGCCAGTCTGAGCAACTTAGCGAGACCCTGACTCAAAATAAAGAATAAAAAAGGCTGGGGAGTACCTCAATAGTAGTACAGCATCCCTGGTTTCAATTCCCAGTACCACCCCCCCCCAAAAAAAAGAATCAGTATATTTTATTATGCTGCCTCTTAATTTGGGGGTTCTAATCTAACAGTGTATTCATTCTTCTTACCTTTCCAAAATTCTTTTCAGATTACCAGTAACACTCTATTTACAGGAGTAAGTACTGATAGTAGTTGTAGTAGTTATCATTATTATTATTATTATTTTGTTTTGGCAGATGTTTGTCAGGCTCTGTTCCAAGTATTAGGTACACATCATTTCATTTACTCTTCAAAGTAATATTACTGGACTATTCTCTTTCTTTATAAGATTAAACCTTTTCTTCTTTATCCCAAGTCCCAGTCCTGTTATCATGAGATGTTAAAAGGTTGTCTGGATTATTGAATTAAGAATACTATTGAACATAGTGAAAAAGTCCAGAGGCATTAGTGTAGATAGTCTAGCTTTGAATTCAGGCTCAACCATTTCTTTCTTTTATTCAGTAAATATTTAATGAGTATTTACTGTTTTCCAAATATTGTTCAGGGCACTAGGGATGACATCTTTATTTACATTTTCAGAGGAAGATAACATTAGCCTTAAAGGGTTGCTAAAGACTAAGAGAGGTTAACAGGCAGGGTTATTTTTTCGCTTTTTTTAATGTTTGTTTTCTTGCCCTCTGAACTGGTTTCTCTGCTCCAGTTTCTCATTCTCTGTTCCATCCTACACAATGTTGGTAAAGCTAGCTTTTTTTTTTTCCTCAAGTTCCTCTTCGAAAAATTAAGTGGCTTTCTTCCTCAGATAGGAAAGTTCTGAGTTCTTAGAATATCTGCCTGCTGTTAAAAATATCTTATGTACTCTTTCTTTCACTTTTCACAGTAAATGCTCAAGCCACCTAGATATTTTTTTAAAAATAATTTTTCCATTAGATTCTTCAGGACTCTCTTGACTCTATGCCTTTTTTTCTTGGAATTCTATGTCTATGATATTCCTTTTACCCTTGCCTCCTTCCTCTCCCTGGACTTGAAGAAATGCATACAATGTACATGGAGAAAGATCTCTCTTCTTTCCATATCCTGTTGCCTCTCAGTTTTCCTCCAAAGGCATATACAAGTCTCTGTACACATTCAAGTAGAGGTATGTTATTAGCATATTAGAGTGTGAAGTCTAGAGTCAGGCTGAGTGTGATTCATGGCTTTTTCTTCCTATGTATGAGACCTTGAGCATATTACTAGTGCCTGCATCATGAGTTATTGTGATGACTTTTTCTTTTTGGTGGTGCTGGAGACTGCTAAACAGGTGCTCTACCACTGAGGTATATCTCTGGTCCCCACATTATGAGGATTTCTTATAGCAGTTCCTGATGCACAGTAAGAACTTAGTAAATATAAGAAAACATAATATATTGAAAAGAGAATGGTATTTAAAATCTGGAGACATAGGTTTGAATATAGTCACCTGTTTACTTTATGCCTAAGTATTTAACCTGAATTAAACTTTGTATGTTTTGTCATCATTATAATCAGCATAGTGATATATAATTTTGATTTTGATTACCTAAAAAATATAAGGGAAAGAGCTTCTAAATGACCAAATGCTTTAAAAGTTTCAGTTACCGTTGATCATATGGTTTTACTTTTCCTTCCAGTAAAGGTCATAACATTTCAGCTAGATAGAAGAAATGAAATAGTGTGTTCAAAAAACAAAGGTATCAGAAAGTTGTGATACTTACACCTTTTTGCTTTAGAAATTGTTCTAAATTCATACTTTTTCATTTTAAGATTATGAATATAGAGTTTATTTGGCAGTAATGCTAATAGAAGTATACTTGTCAAGATTTAAAAATTGAGAACTGGGGATGTAGCTCAGTAGTAAACTGCTTGCCTCTCATGTACAAGGCCCTGGGTTCAATCCCCAGCACCACAAAATAAATTAATTAAATGCTTTTAAAAAGAGATTTCAGAACTGATTATATTTATCTATACCTGGTCGGTATCTTTAAGGGAAAAAAATGTTTTTTGGTCATTGTGAAGGTATTAGTCACTGTCTTAAAAATTTTTCACAATGGTTTACAAATGTCTTATTTGCCTATAATAATAGTTACTAAGGAATATTTATTTTACTAAGTAGATAGTAATGTGAAAAAGACAAGAATTCCCTATTTCCATTAGTCAGGCATTTACTGGTAATGCACTTTTTGATGATTGACTGTGTTACTAAAACAGGATATGAGTATTCACATTTTTACAGCTCATGTATCCAAGAGCACATGTCATTCCCAAAGGCACAAATATAAGATATGTTTGGATACAGTGATATTCTCCCTTCTGTTAATTAGTGGTATTGCCAGTATTTAGGAGGAAAAAAATTATAGTTTAAGGGCCTTTGATAAATATTCTTTTTTATATTTTTTATAATTTTGATATATAAAGAATATATTTTACTTTGGAGATTTAATCTGAATTAAAATTACATAATTTTAGTAAGTTTGAGACTTTTACTTAAAAGTATTTTTGTTTACTTCATTTTATTCTACAATATTTGTTTCTCTGATAAGACAAAATGGCCTAATCTGATGATTTCATATATAACCTTGATCACTGACAGTTTAAACTGAAAGGGAGACTATTTTCAAGTACATTGAAACACAGCATACAATGAATGGCATAATTTCTTTTAGTTAATTTTTGAGTTTCCAAACCACAGAAGTATTATTTTAGATTGCCAATTCATTTGCTTCATGGTATGAAAATCCATAGTAGGAGGAACAGACCTATCACATTTAAGTTGTTTGACAAAAATGTCTCTTCCCCCCCCCAATTGTCTTTTTGAAAAAATTCAGAGGATGAATCTTCTTAAACTATATGCTCCTGTTACTTATAGTAATACAAAAACTATCACTTAGGAATTATTTGTATGATTCCATGTAGCAACACTGAGCCAGGCAACATAATGTTCATACCCCAAATCTATAATTAATATCTAAGGACTTTTTGATGAAGAATGAGATAAAAATTCTTTTTTATGACAACATAGTAATTGAAAATAAGAATTAGGGCTGGGGATGTGGCTCAAGTGA